TACAAAGCAAGTTCTTGATGGGGATGTTCAGAATTCCTTGAAGCAGGAGGTATGGACATTCTTCTAGGCCTGTAGTGGCTTTGTTTTTGTAGAACTTCCATTGAGTTCAATCTGAAAAGGGTATTAAAATCATGGAGAAACTGTTGATAGCTTATCGAAAGGGCGTAATTCTGCAACGGGATAAGTAATGTCGAGAAGTTCGACGTTCTTTCGAACTTCTGACTCTATAAACTTTAGTGTTTCACGGGGTGCTTAGGTTGTGGATTATTCAGGAGAAGTGTTCTTAAGCGAAACTGTTTTGATATGTAATGCAACCAAACTCAATATGCAGTCTTTGAAAAGTAGTTTTGTGTTTGATGTTCTATAGCTTTTACTCTTTGTTTAGAATATGCTGTTTGCTTCGGATTCGGATGGTGTGTGTGAGATCCCATATCGGTTAGGGAGGAAATGAAACATTCTTTATAAGAGTGTGGAAACCTCTTCCTAGTAGACATGTTTTGAAAACTTTGAGGGGAAGCCCGAAAGGGAAAGTTTAAAGAGGATAATATATGCTAGCGGTGGGCTTGGGCTCTTTCAAATGGTATTAGAGCATGATATTGGGCAATATGCCAGTGAGGAGGTTGAGCCTTAAAAGGGGGTGAGCACGAGGCGGTGTGCTAGCAAAGACGCTGGGCTCTGAAAGGGGTGGATAGTGAGATACCACATCGGTTGGGGAGGAGAACGAAACATTCTTTATAAGGGTGTGGAAACCTCTCCCTAGCAGACGCGTTTTAAAAACCTTGAAGGAAAGCTCGAAAGAGAAAGCCTGAAGAGGATAATATTTGCTAGGAGTGAGTTTGGGCTGTTACAAATAATATCAGAGCTAGACATCGGGAGATGTGCTAGTGAGAAGGCTGAGCCCCGAAGGGGGGTGGAGATGATGCGGTGTGCTAGCAAGGACGCTGGCCCCAAAAGGGGTGGATTGGGGGTCCCACATCAATTGGAGAAGGGAACAAATGCTAGCGAGGACGTTGGGCCTTGAAGGACCTTGAGGGGAAGCCCGAAAGTGAAAGTCCAAAGAGGACAATATTTGCTAGTAGTGGGCTTGAACGGAACACTCTTGCTAGTAGCGGGCTTGAACGGAACACTCTTGCTAACGCCTGATAGAAAGACTATGAAATCTTTGAATCAAGCTCATTTCTGATATTCTTATACATTCTCCTTAGCCTGCTCCCTGCTCTTTTTTCTGCAGATTCTACAGCTTCAAGAACAATTACAAAGCCAGTTCGTCATTCGCCACGCCTTGGAGAAGGCAATGAATTTTCAGCCTCTCTCACTCTGTTCCGCTACCGAAAACTCGATTCCAAAGGTAACGTCATGGCCATACTTCCCATACATACATGTAATGTTATCTGGTTGTATTGTTGTACATAGTCTTACTAGTTCTCATCAATGTTAGGCTGAGATGGATCTGATTAAACAAATAGCCGTCTTGGAGTTAGAAGTCGTTTATTTGGAGAAATATCTTCTCTCGTTATACCGACGAACTTTCGAGCAACAAGTATCCTCTTTTTCTACCATGGATGATAGCCAAGAATCATTTGGCAATCAATGTAAAGAACAAAATGAAGTTGAGGAACCGGAGAAGTCGTTACACGTTCATCGCAGCTACTCGTCTCTTTCGCAGAGATCACCCGGTTCATCTCGAAGCTATCCATTATCAAAGTATATGGCTAAAGCAGTAGATTCATACCATTCCCTTCCATTATCAATGCTGGAGGTAACTTGATGTTGATCCATTTTGGACAAGGTAGAACTCCTCTCATTTGGGAACTTTTACATTGTTTTTTCAGCAATCTCGAGTTGATGCTTCGAATTCTACGAGCCTCGGGGAGCACCTCGGTTCCTGGAAATCGGATCAAGCAGACGAGTCGCCTAACTGGATTGCTGAGGAGATGATCAAGTCCATCTCTGCAATATACCGCGAACTTACCGAACCTCCTTCGACGAATCATAAGAATCGTTCTCCTATCTCACCTTTGTCATCCATGTACGAACTTTCTTCACAAGATTTGCGCAGTATGAGGAACTACGAAAAGTCGTTTAACTCGAATTTCGAGAACTCATTTCACACCGGAGAATTTAGTGCACCATACGACACGATGTTGAAGGTGCAATGGATTTCTAGAGAAAGAATGAAGGACATAGATATCAACCGCATGCTACAAGGCTTCAGGTGATAGATACCTCATTCAAAGAAGCTATCTGTTTCGTATGCCATGACTCTGATATTGTCACTGCACTGTTGGCAGGTCACTTACTTCTCGGCTCAAAGATGTCGATCTGAAAGTCATGAAACATGACGAAAAACTAGCGTTTTGGATTAATGTACACAACACGCTTGTAATGCATGTAAGTTCAGCACAAACTCTGTGTTTTTCCTTTGATAATGATAAAGCCTGCTAGTAAATGTTCACTATACTTTGTTCTATAGGCTTATTTGCAATATGGTATCCCCAAGAACAGTTTAAAGACTTTGATACTCAAGGTGAGGATAGCTTCTGTTGTATCCATTAACCAAAATAAATTCTCTAAGTACTTCTTTCATTAGCTGTTGTACTTTCCAGGCCGCGTATAATGTTGGGGGACACATAATAAGTGTCGATATGATACAAGGCTCGATTCTCGGGTGTCGTTTGCCTCGTCCGGGACAGGTTAGTATCATCTTTGTAACAGCCCAAGCCCACCGCTAACAAATATTGTCGTGTTTGGGCTTCCCAAGGTTTTAAAACACTTTTGGTAGGGAGAGGTTTCGACACTCTTGTAAAGAATGTTTCGCTTTCCTCCCCAATTGATGTGGGATCTCACAATCCACCTCCCTTTGAGGCTCAGCGTCCTCGCGGGCACTCATTCCCTTCTTTCATCGATGTGGGACCCCGCAATCCACCCCCCTTCGAGGCCCAGCGTCCTTGCTGGCACACTGCCTCGTGTTCACCCCCCTTCAAGGCTCAACCTCCTTGCTGGCACATCGCCCGGTGTCTGACTTTGATATTATTTGTAACAGCCCAAGCCCACTGCTAATAGATATTGTCCAGGCTTTTTTCATTTGAGCTTCCCCTCAAGGTTTTAAAACGTGTCTATTAGGGAGAGGTTTCCACACCCTTACAAAGAAAATGTTTCATTCTCTTCTCTAACCGATGTGGAATCTCACAATCTCAAAATTATGTTTATGTTCTCGGAATTTTGTGTCACCAATGTATATCAGTACATTCAATGTCTGACTGATTTGTTGCTTGATTAGTGGCTGCACTTGTTTCTCTCGTCGAAAACAAAACTTAAGGTCAACTATGCACAGAAATCCTTTCGAATCAACCACCCCGAACCTCGGTTATACTTTGCTCTATGTTGCGGGAGCCATTCCGATCCAGCAGTATGTTATAACATCTGATTCTAGTATTGATGTCAATCAAAGCTTCGGATGAAACCGGTTTTGATATCGCTATTTGTTGTTTTACGTAGGTTCGTGTCTATACGGCGAAGAGGCTGAACGAGGAGTTGGAGGTTGCAAAAGAAGACTACATCCTTTCGAATTTGAGGACACACAAAGGGCAGAGAATTCTACTCCCCAAGATTGTTGAGTCCTTTGCCAAGGATTCTGGCTTATGCCTGGAAGATTTGGAGGACGTTGTCGAGTGTCTAAGGCTCGACGGGCGGATAAACGACGGTCGGCAGCTGCAACGAAAGAAGTTGTGGAAGAGTATTGGGTGGATACCTCACAACTTCACCTTCAGCTTTCTGCTATCCAAAGAATTGGGATGCCACCAGTCCCTGTCTTGATAGTTTCATACTAAAATCTGAAACATTTTTGTCGAATCGAGATTCGATCATTTGGCGTTGAAGGACGGCTCGTGATTGCAGCTTGGAATGACAGATGAATCATAGCAATGGCTTACGAAGCAAGGTCATGATGTTGAATCCAAAAGGGGAAGAAAAAGGTGCGTTTTGGACCAAAAATTGAGCTGTTTTATCGGTCAAAAACAGGAACAGCAGGTTATGATTCAACTGTCATCCTAAGATGTCTTGTCTGATGTCTGTTATTGTTGATGCAATGTCTCAAAATGCTGCAGTTTTTGTAGACTTCCTTTGATTTTGTCAATCTGTTCTAAGGAAGTTTGTCTAATGGTTGTTTCAAATATGAGCTTTACCTACCGTACTATTGTTAGATCCTACATCGATTGGAGAGGTGAACGAAACATTTTTATAGTGTAGAAACCTCTTCTTATTATACGCGTTTTAAAAATCGTGAGGCTGAGGACAATACATAACGGGCCAAAACGGACAATATTTGCAAGCGGTTGATTTGAACAGCTACAAATGGTATCAGAGCCAGACACCGAACGTTGGGCCCCCAAGGAAGGTGAATTGTGAGATCCCACATCAATCAGAAAGGGGAACGAAACATTCCTTACAAGTGTGTGGAAACCTTTCTCTAGCAGACGCGTTTTAAAAACAATGAGGCTGACGACGATACGTAACGATTCCTTATAAGAGTGGAAACCTCTCCTTAGCAAACGCTTTTTAAAAAACAGTGAGGTTGATGACAACAAGTATCGGTTCCTTGTAAGGGTGTAGAAACCTCTCCCTAGCAGATGCAATATATAATAAGTCAAAACGGACAATATCTATTAGTGGTGGGTTTGGTACATATATGTAGCAATTTTCAAGTTTTTTAGTCGTCCAATCCTTAGAATCTCTTTCGGGTGGGGTCTTGGTTTATTTATGTATATCTCATTTATTCTGGGTCACAAAAATAATAAATAATTTTTTAATGCACGTCGATTTTAATCAATTTTAAATGAATTTAATAGTGTTGACAATCAAATTAAAAAAAAAAAATAATTTTTAAGTAAATAAATAAAAATGATTAAATGTTTAAATTTTTTGAAGCGTATAAACTACGATAACTGTTTTTTTTTTTTTCATAAAGTATTATTATAATATAGATTATATATATGACAAAGAAGCACCTGCCACAGACCTCATAGCTTGGCGGTTGTTTGAGACCTTTTCCTCCATTGTCATCTTCACTTTCAGAAGAAACCCTAATCCGCCATTTTTGTTCCTCGAAAACCCTCTCGGAGGGTTTGGTTTGGTGTGGGGAGAGATGGAAGAACAAAGCACGGCTATAATTTTAGCAAGAGCGACAGAGTTGAGGCTGAAGATTAGAAGCTCTGTTAACACCACCACCACGAGTTCGGCGGTAACTTCCTGGGAGAATCGGGATGATCGGTTCGCCGTGGATGAAAATAATGGCGTTGGTTCGCGGCGGAGTGTGGCCGACGCGATTGAGGTAACGGAAGAAGACGAGGAAGCGGTGAGGCTTTTGAATATCTGCGGTGCGCTCGAGTCTCTTGAGAATCAACTCTCTTCGTTTCAGGTTTGATTGTTCTTTCCTTGTTTTATGAATGAAGATTGAAGAATATGTTTCGATTTAGTGACTTATGTTGAAAATTGTTGTGCGTTATATGATCGATGTAGGCCTGTTTGGATCTGATAGTTGTCGTGATTGCTCAAAGTTGCATAGTCTAGTCCAAGTACTTACTGTATAAAGATCGATTTGAATCAGTTTAGGGTATAAATTGAATTCATTCGAGCATCATTTTAGATATGGAATTGTTTTCTGTTCCTAAACATATGCTAGTAGTCTGAAAGCTTGCATTTATATGTTGGTGCATTGTTGCACTTACTACCTCTCTGGTACTTGGATAAAAATATGAATGGAGTGTGAGATCCACGTCGGTTGGGGAGGAGAACTAAACATTCTTTATAAGAGTGGAAACCTCTCCCTATCCCTATTTGACATGTTATAGAACCTTGAGGGGAAGCTTGGAAGGGAAAGCCTAAAGATGATAATATCTGCTAGTAGTGGACTTGGGTGGTTACAAATAGTATTAGAGCCGGACATTGGGCTATGTGCCAATGAGAAGGTTGAGCCCTGAAGGGGGTGGACATGAGACGGTGTGCCATCAAGGACTTTGGGCCCTGAAGGAGGTGGATTGGGGGTCCCACATCGATTGGAGAAGGGAATGAGTGCCAGCAAGGACCGCTGGGCCTTGAAGGGGTAGATTGTGAGATCCCAAATCGGTTGGGGAGGAGAACAAACCATTCTTTATAAGGGTGTGAAAGCCTCTCTCTAGCAGACTTGTTTTAAAACTTTGAGAGAAAGTCCGAAAGGGAAAGCCCATATAATACAATATCTGCTAGCGGTGGACTTGGGTCGTTACATGTGGAGCATGATTCTCCCTCAATTTGAACATTTTATTGCATTTATTTGCTAATACTAAAAGTATCAGGCAGTTGAAAGCTGATGGTTTTAGTGCTTCAGCATATACAACTTATGAGGTTGTTAAAGCCTTCAACGCCTCACTTCACAATCCACCCCACCCTTTGGGCCCAGCGTCTTCGCTGGCACACTACTCGGTATCTACCTCTGATATCATTTGTAACAGCCCAAGTTCACCGCTAGCAAATATTATCATTTTTGAATTTTTCGTTTCAGGCTTCCCCTCAAGATTTTCAAAACACGTCTGCCAAGGAGAGGTTTCACACCCTTATAAGGAATGCTTATTGTCTTCTATATTATTTTATAGAACATTCTTATATTTTATCTTCTAATTTGCAGGATTTACAACAACTGCAAAGGTACGAGAAGGAAGTAGCCCTTTCCGAGATCGAGCATAGCCGCGAGATGTTACTGGATAAGCTGAAGAAGTACGAAGGAGAGGATTTGGAAGTGATACACGAGGCGTCAGCTTTTGTTGGGGAGACCGTGCAGCACAACCAGGATCTCATGCTTCCTCCATATACAAGCCATCCTGGTAATGGCTACTTACATCCCTTCCCTTCTGCACTCAAGTTTGTGAGGGCTGCTACAAATAAAGCTACAAAGGAACTTAACGAATCAGAACGGAAACACACGAAATTGAATTCGAGGAACTCGAGGAATAGATTAGGATCCTTCATTAGTATAGCTGCAAAATCCGTGGTTACCATTGTTGGCATAGTATCCCTACTGCACTTGGCTGGTTTTCGACCGAAGTTTGCAGCAAAAATTGCTGCTTTGAAGGCTTTGGACTGTTTTCGACGGTCTGCAGCTGTAAATAAAGAATCACGCCATGGATGCCCTCCGGGAAAGCTCAATGCGTCGTGAAAGAGAGAATCGAAGTTCCGTTTTCTTCGGTTGTGGCTAAACCAGATGTAAACTATGGAAGCGGGTAACAGTTCAATCCGACATGCTTGTGTGAGATGTGTTCTCTGAAAGGTCCTCGCTTATGCTAGTTTTTACATTCTTTTGCTCTGCAAAAACGTTTTCGATCAATGTTCTCATCTGCATTCATCTTTTGATCAAATTTTTGAAGAAAGTATTGACACAGTACAAAGATCATACAAAATTTCACTCTTGATTGATTTTTCCAGGAAAAGAGCTAAAGAATCTGCGCGTCAACCTGTCGTCGGGACCTAAAGATCGGTGGACGACAACGAAAACAAGGGAAAGCAACAACCCGTCGTTTGAATCGTCGACGATGACTGTTATCGACGAGCCTGCAACGAATAGGACTAACGGGGATTGTACTGATAAGCCAAGAAACTGTAGGCATGCTACTCAGTGCAGGGAAGGCTTAAAAAAAGATGACTTTTGCTAATATGAGCTTATTAAGGGTCCATGTAGGTCTTGAACTTACAACATTCATGTTATTAGTCCGATGTTCTAATTGGTTCATGTCGGTCTCAAATCTGCGATTTTTGTGTTATTAACACCACTAATCAACTAATTGAATTAATAGGCCCATGTGGATGGTGCTAATAGGCTTAGAGTTGTTGCTGTTGCTGTCTAATTTTATTATTATTTTTTTTTTGTTTTTTGTTTTTAAGATCTTGATCAACTGTCCTAATAAGCCATGGCCCATGCAAATCTTGAACCTCTGACTTTTGGTTTTTTTTTTTTTTTTTTTTTTTTTTTTTTTTTTTTTTTTTTTTTTTTTTTTTTTTTTTTTTTTTTAATTTAAATCAAAATCTAGACCTGATCCTGTCCCATCTTTGACTTTTGCATTACTAGCATAGGATCTAATATTGATATCTACATGTTATTGACATCCGTTCAGTCTTTTTTATTATATCCGTCCAGTCTTTTTTTGGTTTACTTTTTTAAATTTAAATCAAAATCTAACGAACTGAGCTAATAGGCTTACAACTGTAGTGTTATTGATATCCGGTTCAGTCTATTCGGTCTGAGCTAATAGGCCTACCTACAACTATAGTGTCATTGATATCCGATTCAGTCTTTAGGCCTACAACTATATCATTAATATCACTAATATACAGTCCAATCTCATTCTTCCATGCGTTATTAACGTGCTCTAGAGATAATAGGCCACTAGAGCTAATAGGTCATGCGTTATTAACTTGGAATGATTATGGTCCATGCGTTATTAACGTGCTCTAAAGCTAATAGGCCACTAGAGCTAATAGGCCATGCATTATTAACGTGGAATGATTATGGCCCATGCATTATTAACGTGCTCTAGAGCTAATAGGCCACTAGAGCTAATAGGCCATGCATTATTAACGTGGAATAATTATGGGCCATGTGTGTGCTCTAGAGCTAATAGGCCATGCCGTGTGGAATGATTATGGCCCATGGAATGATTATAGCCCATGCGTGTGCTCTAGAGCTAATAGGCCATGCTTTATTAACGTGGAATGATTATGCCCATGCGTTAGGCATGCCATGTGGAATGATTATCTAGAGCTAATAGGCCATGGGTTATTAACATAGAATGTTTATGGCCCATGCATTATTAACTTTTTCTAGAGCTAATAGGCTCAATTGCAATTGAAGGCCTTTAGACTTGTAATATTATATATTAACTTTTTTATTAATTGTAAATACAAAGTTAAAATGCCTCTAATTTAATTTCATACTTTCAATAAAACTTTCAATAAATCATCAAATTAGGACAGTCCTACATTATAATCCACATGTTCTTCCCTCAACATGTCCCTGCCGTATTAGTAAATCCCGTGTATCCGTTAATCTAAATATAATTCAAATAATTTAGACATATTCTCGGCCGAGTTCGAATTCTCCGATTCATGTAACCAAGCGAGTCAAACGGTCACCATTTGAAGAACGAAACTATACAAATATGAATAGCAATATATAAAGCCTTAAACCATTCAGAACTTGGGGGGAAAACTAACAGCCAGAATAACAGCTTAGTGAAACTATGATTGATTTTGATGTACAATTCGTTAAACAAAAACGGATACGATAATACTACTACTAGCAATTCAGCTCATCGACGTCTGTTCTGAACATGTAATCTTCACCCTCTAGCTCGTCTTGAAGTAGACAGATCAACGGTGTAACTGATCTCTCACCTTCATCTTTATCATCCGATGATCGCCTTCCCTGGTAATAGCAATTGCATTTACCAGTAGAAATGAAAGACATACACGAACTTTTATTGCGATTGTTGAAAGATGCATAATCAAGTCGAGAATTACTGGAAGTACTCATGAAGACAACCATATTCCGAGAGTTTATGAACACTTTTGATTGACAGAAAACCAACCCGGGTTGTTGAAAGTCCAAACTATGGCTCACAGAAGGAATCAGGCCCTTGTCTAAACTAGCCACTAGGCTCTCTAAAAGGGCATACTGGCATCCTAACTTAAGGTTCATAATTTATGATTCTATTATGCTGATGAATCCAGATCTTTGATAAGGCAATAGGGTTGGCTTTGAAACTCAGACAAAGAAGTAACTATGGAGCATTTGGAATATGAACACCTACGGATGTGAATGCTAGGCCTATCGGTGCGTTTTTCTTGTCAGGAGAAAAGCAACAAAGAGCAATCAGTTGTTAGGGGAGGGGTATAGATCAGATAGCAACGGAGCCCATGTTCAAGTATTTTGTTTGGTCTTGTATTTTGGCCTAGAATGTAAGGTCAGTGAGTTCATGGGCTCATCAAAGTGATTGGTACCCACTGTCGTATTTTGGCCTAGAATGTAACATGAGTGAGTGTTTCAGGGCTCTCACAGAGTTTGGTGGCCATTAATCTTGTATTTTCGCCTAGAATATAAGGCCAGTGAGTTCACGGGCTCTCGAAGAGATTGGTGCCCATTATTGTTGTGTTAGCCTAGAATGTAACGAGAGTTGGTTTCGGGGCTATCGAAGAGTTTGGTGGCCATTAATCTTGTATTTTGGCCTAGAATATAAGGATAGCGAGTTCATGAACTCTCGACAAGATTGGTGCCTACTATTGTTGTATTTTGGCCTAGAATGTAACGAGAGTGAGTTTCAGGACTCTCGAAGAGTTTGGTGGCCATTAATCTTGTATTTTAGCCTAGAATGTAAGGTCAGTGAGTTCATGGGTTCTCGNTGAGATTGGTGCCAACTGTTGTATTTTGGCCTAGAATGTAATGAGAGTGAGTTTCAGGGCTCTCGAAGAGTTTGGTGGTCATTAATCTTGTATTTTCGCCTAGAATGTAAGGCTAGTGAGTTCACGGGCTCTCGAAGAGATTGGTGCCCACTGTTGTTGTATGTTGGCCTAGAATGTAACGAGAGTTAGTTTAGGGGCTATCGAAGAGTTTGGTGGCCATTAATCTTGTATTTTGGCCTAGAATATAAGGTTAGCGAGTTCACGGACTCTCGACGAGATTGGTGCCCACCATTGTTGTATTTTGGCCTAGAATGTAACGAGAGTGAGTTTCAGGGCTCTCGAAGAGTTTGGTGGCCATTAATCTTGTATTTTAGCCTAGAATGTAAGGTCAGTGAGTTCACAGGCACTCAACAAGATTGGTGCCCACTATCGTTGTATTTTGGCCTAGAATGTAACGAGAGTCAGTTTCAGGGGTCCCGAAGAGTTTGGTGGCCATTAATCTTGTATTTTCGCCTAGAATGTAAGGAGAGTGAGTTTGACAGACCTAGAAGAGCTCGGTGACCATTGTTCTCGTCATCTTTGTGCAATATCAATCAAATAAGTCATCTACAGCCTATCCCGAAAATAACAACCGACCCAACACAAGAAATTAAAGGCGAAACATCCGTGCTAACCTTACGCAAGGTGTAGAAGAAGTAATGAAATCCATCGCCAAAAGTACTGCACTCAAACGACCAAGTAAACTCGGGAGCATTGAATAAGGGACGCCTGAAATGCGGCTGAAGAGAAAGCAAATCATATTAGAACGAGGAAGTGTAACATCCAAGGACAAGGAGTTCCAAGAATTTGATTATAAAACCTGGCCAAATGTAATTGAGACAAAAATGCCATCTTTCTTCAAGACCCTATGAACACCTTCAAGCATTGCCATGACCTTCGATCGCGTTGATGGTTGAGGATTCCACGGGTCACCACCATCCACGAACAAAACATCCTTCCAAGTTATGAACAGCAGAAGGAATGATAAATGAAGACAACAAATGCAAGTTCCAATATCTCGAGGAAAAACAAAACTGCAAGTTGAGTAGTTACCATGGTTCCTTTCTCGACAACTATGTCAAAACACTCGTCACCGAAAGGCATGTCTAGCATGTCAGCTTCCAGCACCTTTATTTCTAATAATCGAGAGAGAAAATGAATAAGGTGAGAAAAGGCACACTGTTATTAACGTACATGGATCGTTTCCTTCTATTGTTTATCTCATTTGAGTTCGTGGAAAACCGTGAGTTATCATCTAAGAAGCGTAGACAGACATGACACGAACATAGACACTGCATACATCAGTTTCTAAAACGTAGGACATGCACATGTTGCATACACTTTTTGTTTATAAATAAAATGTGTATATATTGATGTAGAAATACTTATAGACAAAACATGTAAATTTAGCATAAAACCAAAATATACTTCACTAAAAACATACATCAGTGATATTTGAAATCATAAAAGATATCGAAAGATTTAGTTGGCTATAACCAGAGGAAGAAGATGTAATCGCCCAAGCCCACTACTAGCAGATATTATCTTCTTTGGGCTTCCCCTTTCGGGGTTCAGCATCCTCGCTGACACTTGTTCCCCTCTCCAATCAATGTGGAATCTCACAAACCACCCACCTTCGGGTCCCAACGTACTCGCTGACACACGTTTCTCTCTCCAGTCAATGTAAGATCTCACAATCCACCCACCTTCAGGGCCAGCGTTCTCACTGACACTTGTTCCTTTCGGGGCCCTGCGTCCTCACTGGCACTTGTTCCTTTCGGGGCCCTGCGTCCTCACTGGCACTTGTTCCTTTCGGGGCCCTGCGTCCTCACTGGCACTTGTTCCTTTCGGGGCCCTGCGTCCTCACTGGCACTTGTTCCTTTCGGGGCCCTGCGTCCTCACTGGCACTTGTTCCTTTCGGGGCCCTGCGTCCTCACTGGCACTTGTTCTTTTCGGGGCCCTGCGTCCTCACTGGCACTTGTTCCTTTCGGGGCCCTGCGTCCTCACTGGCACTTGTTCCTTTCGGGGCCCTGCGTCCTCACTGGCACTTGTTCCTTTCGGGGCCTGCGTCCTCACTGGCACTTGTTCCTTTCGGGGCCCTGCGTCCTCACTGGCACTTGTTC